CACAGCCACACTTACCTCTGGTTTCTGTTGTGATCAGCAAAGTCCCTGGTACATGGAATGCCCTGCCTGGTCCCCTCATCTGAAGGCATTCTGCCTCATTGTGGCAGCTGTGAGACTCTTTGTCTCATCTTTGCCATTGGCTTCTTGAATCCAAATTGCTCCTTTTCCTTGGCAAGGTGATTGTCAGGGAGCCCATGCTAACAGGCAATGATCAAGGGGCTCAGTGCTGTCCAAATGCAGAGTGGGATGGAGTTGGAGGTGGTGGAGTCACGCTTTCCTTGGGAGCTGCCACCTGCCTCTGCCTCTTGCCATAGACCCCAGGAGCAGTGCTGGGACATAGGGAGGGACTCACCTGTAAGACAGGACTGGAGCTGATGTGTGGAGCATTCCCTGGACTCTGCTGCAGGTGCCAGTGTTTGTGGGATGGGTTTCCTTAGCAGCCAGCTTGTATTTGAGGCTGTGACTTGTTTTGGGAACTGCACAGGATGACCTCAGGCACAGCCATAGTTTTATTTTTATAAGTTGAGTATTTGACGAGGAACATCTCCAGTTTTCTAGAGGAGAAAACCACATCTGAGACAGTTCTGTAGCCAAGAACGTGAAAGCTATTTGAATATTTCTTAGTAACTGTGTTTTGGAGTTTTAGGGTGAGGTAAACTGTAAAATCCCCTTTCTTCCTCACCCCTGTGGAAGTCCAGAGGATTCATGGGCAAAGTCAAGATGTCACAAGAGCAAACTATTCTTTGGCTGTTTTGAGTAGGAACAAACCATCCCCAGAAGTGTGCTGCAGAAAAACAGAGCAAAGCTTCCCCCTGCTCGAGGAAACTCAGACAGGCTTTTCTCTAGAGGCCTGGAGAGACAGTGGTGCAGAAACTGAGGGCCCAAGATGGCAGCATGAGGAAGAGGAGCAGATGGAACTCCTCACTCCAAACTTTTGAGGCAAATGCAAACCTAGCAATACAGGGTTTAAAAGAATGAAGAAAGAGAGCCCTAAAACTAAAACAAGGTTCCAAAAAAATCCCATCCCCTCAAGTTTTCAAAATCTGCCTGGACAAAGCCCTGGGCAGCCTGCCCTGCCTTTGAATGCAGTCCTGCTTGGAGCAGGGGATTGGACTGAATGACCTCAAAAGGTCCCTTCCAGTCTAAATATTTCTGTGGTTCTGTGATGGATGTTTGAAATATAGAACAACCAGACCTAATTATAGCATTGGCAAAATCCATGACACATCCATCTAGAGCTTAAACCAGTGCTGTTCCCTCCCCCATGCCATAAAGCTAGAAACAGGGCAGAAAAAGGTGATTACAATCTACAACACACAGTGGGTCTGGGTCAGGGAGACACTCAAGAGGAAACATCTCAGGAGCTCCAAAATCATTACTAATGTGGAGAAGAGGAACAAGAAATGATTGGGAATTTGGGGACACAGAACAAAGTGAGGGGGTGGTAGGTTTAAAATGAAGAGGAGCTTAGCTTAAGCTTCTTACAAAGACCTTGATTTCTCCCCTGTGGATTTCATTGGCATAAGACATCACTGAAGGAAAATATATCTATGAATTAAATACAAACAAACCAACTAAACCAAACAAAAAAAAAAAAAAAAAAAAAAAACAACCTCAAAAAACCCTCAAAACAAAACAAACATCCCCCTGTTTCTGAGTCAGGAACCTTTGATTCAGGAGATCTTTTGAGCCACAGGTCAGTGGTTTTGGCCATACAGAAATGTTCAGGTATCCCCAAGTGTCCATGTACCTCCTATACTGTCAGAAAGAACTTCAATGAGTGACACATTGCCTGCAGAAACATCTCTGTTCACTCAGGTTTGACCCTCTGCTAAACTTGCAGAGATCAGCAGATATCTCCCACCACACAAGGGAAAAAGAATTCCCTGTCACCTTCTCCTTTCACTTATATTACAAAATTCTGTTGCCCAGCTTCTTCCTGACTGAGGAGTCCCAAGCTATTCTGTGGCTTCTTTTGAGAAACATTCCTCTACACCTCAATTGTTTCTTTTTTCTAAAACTAGAAAAACCATTTTTCTAGTTTTACATTATCATTTTTCTATAAACAGACCAGAATTTTTCACAATTCACCCTCATGGGTCTGAATTGGCTGTTGGTTCTGTAGGGCATTCACTGTTTGATTTTACTTTTCATTCGTCTTCTCATTTTCTAACCTTCCTTTTGCTTGTCTGGCTCCTCCTGAACAGCAAGCTGAGATTTTTCATAGAACCATTAATTGTCACAGTAAGATCTTTGCTGAGTGTGGCTAATTTAGAGCCCAGCACTGCATGAAGTCAAGGAGGATTAACCCTCCAGCCATCATTTTGTATTTACCAGGCATTGCTCATGTTATTGCCTGGCCACTCACTGTTAGCAGATCCTGCACCAGACTTTCACCTTTGCAACTCTACATCACCCTGAGCTATCAACAAACTTCATCACCCCAAGAGCACGTGGGCAGAGACAGGCATGTGGAAAAAGGCCTTGTCTTTCTGTGCTTTCACACTCATGCTCCCAGAGGCTGCCTCAAGCCCTGGACATTGCACAAATAGCTACAAATCCTATTTGGAGAGTTACAGAGGATCCAGCCTAGGTGAGGGGACAGGGTGAGGTTTGAGAACCTCTCTTCTTCCACAATACAGAAAGTAAATCTCAGAGGAGAGGTGCTTGTAAATAAGCTCTCTGTGTGAGGAGTTCCCTCCAAGCTCCCCAGGTGACAGGCACTGTCATTCAGCAGCAGTGTGCAGTGCTCTGCAGAGCCTCCCAGTCCCTACCAGAGCTTTGGGGGTCACCCTGCTGCCCCCCTGCCCGCTGTGGGATGGAGAGCTCAGTGTCAGCTGCATGGGAAAAACAGAACTCAGCCCTGTTGTGTTTTTGGTGACCTTTGAGGACCTCACCTGCAGACCCATGGGTTGCTGGATTGTCCCATTGTGCCACCTGTGTTCACAGCCACCCTGCCAGGGTGCACAGCTGAGTGCAGAGGGCGACCTGAGCTGTCCAAGCTGCAGCTTCTGCTGCTGTACAGGTCCTGTGTGCCTGAGCAAGGCATTCAGAGCTCGCAGCATGAACCTGCAAGGGGCAAACTGCACCTGAACTAAGAAAGCTTTGCAAAGAAAATGATCACAGCACTTGGCCAGTTCAGCCCAGACAGAAAAAAAAAAAAAAACAAAAAATGAAACAAGCCAAGCCCCCAGCAGAAATAAGTGGTTTTGACCTGGGTTTTCTAGAAAATCACAGACTGACACACTTAACAGGGTCTTTTGGGGAATGGGGGTGACATACTCAAGAAGCATTGAAATAATCTCAACTGAGCTTGCTGGGACAGACTCCCAAGAAAATCCTGACTGTGAACCCCCAGTCACTCCACATGCCTGGTATTATCAGTTCCTGTACTCTGACTTAAATCACCAGCACCTTTCCCAGGGCAGTGCACAGCCCTCAGAGAGGAGGTACAGACAGGTTCCTCTGGCCATCAAGTGCAAAGTGCTCAGCACACAGAAACCTGGTCCTGGTGAGGCTCTGCAGAAATTGCTGAGTTGACAGTCCTCATCTGTGGGGTGGACACAGCTCCCCACTTGTAACTGGGACACTGGAGGTCACAGTGCTGTGTACCACAGAGCCTGCACCCCCCAACAAGAACTGACAGCCTAGAAAATGCTTATCTTGTGGTTGAATTACTTTTATTCTGAGGTTCACTGCTAGCTCTTCACTGCTTACCTACAACCTGCAGCTACACAGAGGCAACAAAGTTCTTCCAGGTCTCCAACAGCCCAAGAGCTGACAGCCTAGGCAGGGCTCTCCTACCTTCAACAAAAGCCCCAGCAGTTATTTTGTGACCAGGTCTCCAGCCTGTACAGGCATAACCACCAAAAGGACATGACTTTAACAACTGGTCTTGAGTTGTGCAAGGAACAAGACCAGAGGACACTGACAGACAGTTCAAAATGCTTCAGCCATTGCAATAGTAGCATCCACAGCCCCATTACTACAGGGCAGGAAAGGAACACTTGGGTATCTCCCTCAACTCTACAAAGGAACTGGCTGCAAACTCTTTAAAAATGAAAAGTCAAGCCCTGTAAGAGTAGGAGAGCAATGGCTGTTTTGATTTTTAGAGCCTTTGTTGTATAGAAAACTGCAGCAGAGAGCTGCAGCCCTGCTGTCAGGGGTGCACTCAGTCTGGAAGGAGTCACCCCCACTTGTCCAAGCAACTCTAAATCTTTAAGTCCTTAAAAGTCCTCTAAATCTATATCTTTAAGTCCTTTCCAACCATTCTGTGATGCTATCACCTGGCTCAGCCAGCAAAAGCAGCCATTCTGCAACAGAGCAACACCATCCACATCTATAATTCCTCCTCAGTACAGAAAATGAGCATCTCACCCTTGCAGCCACACTTCAAGGACTTAGTTCCAAGCATTAAATTAGAAACCCAATCCTTCCAACTCGAGTATCAGGTGGGGCACACAAGTGCCAGGACCTACAGCCCCACCAGCAGGAGCGAAGGCATCGCTTCTCCCAGTGCTCCGCACTGCACGGGCACTGAACAAACGCACACGGGAGATATTTCAGCTTTTATTCGCAAATCCATCTGTACATCCCGACTCGCCGGGTGGCAGCCGCCAAGGGCCGGCAGCACCAGGGGGCAGCAGCAACCAGGAGTCACCGGAGCGCCTGGAAACAGGAGCCAGCGGAGGAAACCGAACCCCGCCGGCCTCTGCATCTCACCTTCTCTGAGCAAGGGAATTGGAAATCGAGTCATCTTTATCACATTCAGAAAGGTGTTGGATTTAGAGTCCTGCGCGTTCAGCATAACGATCTCGAGTTGAAGCGACTATTCTGCAGAGCGGCTTGAAAACTATCCCAGGCTTGCTTTTCCCAAAGCCAGCATCTTAAAGCTGCAGTACTCTCCAGGCATCTTTCCCAGCAGTCCCAAAGCCAAATAACAAAAGGAGCCCTTGCAAATAAATAATCACAGGAAAATAAATAAGATTAGAACTGAAATATACAGTTACAGGGTCTTTATTTGGTTTCAGAGGTGGAAAAAAGTGGAGCCAGACTGCAGCTTTAAGCCTCATGCCTGAATCAACCTCAAACACTTGGTAAATTTTACAGCTGATTAGCAGTACAGGTCCGAGATCTGAAGTTCCACGGAGATGAACATTTAGGCACAAACGCACACCCTTCCCCAAGGCATACTTTATTTTTGCGAGTTAGAAAAAAAGCCTGCTATGGGGAAGTGCCCCTTCCCGAGCTGAACAGACACGACTGAAGACCTATTTACTGTCACAGTAAAACATCCCAACAAATAACTAACCCCACCCATGGTAGCAAGGGAAAACTGGTTCAAACCATGCACCAGGGAGACAATTCTCTCTCAGGATCCTTCAACTCCACTGGCACCACAGATTCCACGAGCAAATCCAGCTACCAGCAGGGCTTCCAGCTGCCTATGGCTTCTTGTGCTCCAAGCCTAGTTGAGGAAAGTCATAAGTCCATTATTTCTACTTAAGCCAGAAATCCTGTTAATGCCATTTAGAGGCAGTTCTACAGCAGGAGCTCTTGATCTCCTCTTTGTTTGGGGTGCACCAACCCCCTCTCCAGAAACTCCCACACAGAAAAAACACACAGAAGAGAAAAGCAATCCATTGCAAGCCAGTGTCCGATGATTGTCCCTTTGGGGAGGGCAGGAATCCAGGACAGGGCAAGGCAGGGGAAGGGAGGAGGATGGCAGGTGGGGAAAAGTTAGAAACAAACTCAAAACCACCAAGACACAAGGAGGAGCTCAAAGCCCCTCAGCAACTGATGGCACTGGGTTGCTGTTTGCTAACAAAGTCTGAAATGAAGTCGAACTCGTTCTGTCCCAAGAATAACTCTGGCAGCTCCTGAATCCGGTCCAACCCCAGTTCCAGGACAAGGGATGTCAAGACCTCCTCATCTATAAGATCAGTGTCCATAACATTCAATGTCAGCGCCGGTGAGGGCATGTGCTGCATGCCCGGGTGCTGGCCCGGCCCCACTCTGTACTGCTGGGCACCCGCTCCCATGGGCCCGTTGCTCATGCCCAGCGGGTGGCCCTGGTACTGCGTGTTGAGTTTTTGTAGGTGCATGCTGGCCATGAGCTGCTGGGTGCCCACCGGCCCCATGTACTGCTGCTGCTGCCCCGGCCCATTGAACATCATCGCGTTCTGCATCTGGTGGTGGCCCATCTGTCCGCTGAGGCTGGCTCTCGGCCTCATGGCACCGTCCATGCCAGCCCCTCCGTAGGGCATCATCTGAGCGGCGCCGGGCAGCGTCCTCAGCACATGCTGCCCGTGCTGCGGGGGTCCCTGCAGCCCGCTCACCCCCATGCGGTAGCCCTGCAGCGCGGCGCCACCGTGGCTCATCGGCATCATCATATGCTCGGCCATGCCTCCAGGTCCCCGAGAGATGACAGCGGCTCGGCCACGGCTCCCGGGGACGGCTCCGCGTCCCGCTCCCGCCGAGCCGGCTCCGACAGAAGATCCCGGCGAGCTCCCACCTCCTCCCGGGGGAAGGCACCGCTCCGCTGGCTCCGCTGGCGGGGGAAGCTGCGCGGAGCCCCCGCCGGGAGCGGGGCTGTGCCTGCGCGGTGCGCGCCGCTCCGGGCTCCGGCAGCGCTGGCTCTGCCGAGCTGGGCTGAGCTCCGCGGGGCTGGGCTGAGCTCCGCGGGGCTGGGCTGGGCTGGGCTGGCCGGGACTCGCCGCTCCGCTCCCGCTCTTATAGCCCGGCGGGCGGGGGCGGCCCTGGCGCCCATTGGAGCGCGGGCGGGCGGCCCGGCCCCGCGGGCGGGAAGGAGGCGCGGCGGGTCGGTCCCGGCTTTGCTCGGCTCCACAGTCCCGCCGCTGCATCCTTGTGGCACTGCAAGCAGCTCTCTGCAGTCACCGCTGCGCTGCCTTCCTCCTCTCAGTGCCCCTGCCCAAGTCTTTGTACCCGCTGATACGCTGGGGATCAGGTCCCGCTGCGGGGCTTGTGCTGGGCTCCCTGTTCGCTCTGAAGGATGCACCTTTGTCAGGTGCTCCCATGCCCGAGAACAGCTGGTGGCATCAGCTGCGTGGTTGGTTACTCGGTCGGAAGCATCTTCCTAGCAAGGATGCACCAAGCTTCCAAACACAGATGGTACTGAGGGTGCTGTACCCACGGGGGTTTGCTGGTGTAACTGCCTGCAGCAGTGGCTTTGTCACCTCTGAGATGGGCTCTGTCTCCTGTACGCACCCACTGAGCTTTGCTAGCCACATTATACCACCATGAGTGTAGACTACAGCAGCTCTGGTGCTCTCTTCGGGACGTGGTGCATTCCAGTAATGTATGGAAGAACAGCAGTGATCTTCCTTGTCGGCTTTGTGCGCTGAAGGAACCTCGAGACTTCCTTATAAAAGGAACTTATATTAGTGTTGCACAGTTACCTGCTTGTAAGGCATGGAATGACACAGTTCAACTTGCTTCCCCAACTTCATTCTTTGTCTCTGTCCTCTCCCAGACAGCTCTTAGCCACAGCATTACAGACCATGGCACTGGTGGTGACAGACAGAACTCTCCTGCTGGCTTGGAGCAGGTTATTTGTGGAGTTTTAAGTGTTCAGCACGTTCAGGGTACTCACAGACCCTCATCAGCAGAGGAAAGGTCTAAGTCAGGCAGCATGGGCACCTTAGGGGGGTTCTGAGCCATGGTACTGACCCAAAGGGTTACTTTTAATGAATATTTCTGTATCAAAATTCTTTAAGCCAGCAGCTCAGAGCAGGGAACACCTGGGAGTTTAATTAAAGAAGTTTAATTAAATATTAATTTACTTTACACTGAGTTACACTTAAAGGTGTCTCTGACAAAGAGAACTGGCCAATGGCAAATTCTTCAAGATGCCAGCAGCCAGGAATGGAAAGTGTCTTCTCTTATCTGGACAGAGCACAGGGCCATAAATCCTCAGGACATTCTGGGAGCTGCCTTTGTTTGTGCCACCTTCTGCCTTGTTGGGTGGCTGGGATAGGTTTCAGGTGTTGTTGGTGAGCCTCTAGCTGATGAATCAGTTGGTTAATTGTTCATTATAATTACGTAATGATTGTTTTTTAACTCTAGAGATTTTGACAAATGCATTTTTAGTACTAATAAACACACGCTCACATACATAGACCTGCCTGCCTACAAGTTCACATGCAGATGCACACCCAGGTGAGAAATAAATGCTAGGGGAGTGTCTGCCCTGCTCTTTTCAGAGGCATCCAGCCATGAAAACATCTCTCACTTGGAGGAGAGGTGTGGTGTGTCCTGCAAGGCCTGGGCAGGGGCAGGAATTCTTGGACAGGAGTAAGAGGTGGGAAAGGGCTCTCCACAGCATTTGCATTACTGAAGACCCCAAATGAATTGCTCTTCATTTTGGAAACAAATCAGCAGATGACAGAACATTCTTGCTTAACATAAATGGGAAGGTCCCCTCTGTCTCTCTCCTCACTCATGCCCCTTCTCCTGCAAGGGTAAAACCAATCAGCTGCTCATCCAGTCTGAGAAGAATTTGACCAGAAATGGAGCTGTGTCCCAGCTTTGTGCCATTATCCCTAAATGTTTCCCCAGCGTGACCTGGGGTGCTTGAGAAGAGCCAGTGCCTGCAGGAAGGGAGGGGATGATGGGAGGCAATGGGCAGAGGTGTCCACAGAGCCACAGCTTCCATGTTTGCCATGTGTGTGCCAATTCCCTGTGCTCTGTGTCCTGAGGGCTCCCTGTTCTTGAACCAGTAATATTTTATTTTACAGGGACCAGCTTGGACAGTGTGCTGCAATTCTCACTGGGAGCAGAGCTGGAAAAGGGCTGACCTGTTCTGCTAGCACCCCTCTCTGCTCTTTTTGGCCCAGAACAACCAGTGGGCCCTTGTTGTGCTCAGGTCTTGAGGATTAAGGACCCAAACCTCTGCAGCCATATTTACAAACACTGTGTGTGACCCATCTAACCCCAGGCTTGTGTCTCTGCCCTGCCATCTGTCAGCAGCCCAAGGACAGACTGCCCTTTCTGGGAAGGCAGATAAACTGCCAGATCCAGCCTTGGGCTCTTGGTCAATGAGCCCTGATTGAAGTCACCACATCAGCCACCTCCACCAGTGTGTCATTCACACCTTCCTGACATGGGACTTCCCAGTGTCTTGGGGTGATTTTATGGTGATACTTTATTCCCTAATCATTTGCTTTATGCCCAGAAATGGCTGCTGTAGCTTTTTGATGGACCAGGGGTGGGGTGAGGAGCCTTGGGCTCCTGCATGGTTGGGTTCAAATCCCCCCTCTCTCTCTCCAGTGTGCTCAGGCTGTGGTGTGGACCAGAACACTCCTTTGTTCCTTTTGTTGGATTAGATTTTTTGCTAGCTTGAAGCAAGAAGTTTGTTTTTTCCCTTCCCCTAGCCTGGAGGCTGTACTGGGAATCCTCTTGGCAGCTTTTTGGTTTTTTTTTTCCTTGAACTGTTTTGGCTTTGATTATTTTACTTTTTTTTTTGTCTATCTGGGGAGCTGGCAGGGGCCACCCTGAACCTGTGACCTTGGAGAAGCTGAACCAACACGAGAAAGGACACTGGAACCCACCAGCTTTGCCTGCTGTGAGGAGACCCACGCCAGCAAGGTTCCCATCTATTCTGCCCAAGGGCTCTGTGAGCTCCTGTTCTCCCCTTTCCCTGAGACAAAGGGGGGCAGCTGCCATCTACACAGCCTAGGGAGGGGTGGGGGTTAAGGTTTTGCAATTTTGATATTTAGCATTTATTCAATCCTTTTCTGTGCCTTGCAGGCACCCCTTTGTTTTTCGGTTTGCTTTTTGGTTTTGTTAATAAACAGTTTTGTTGGGTTTTTTTTCACTTTCACCCACTGGTATTCATTTCTCATTGAAAAAAGGGATTACTGGAACCCTTCTCTTTAGAGGAAACACTGATTTCAGAGAGTTTTCTCCTGAATTTGTCTCCAAACTGAGACACCCAGGTCTCTGCTGTACTGGCTGTACTGGTACCATCAGCCCTGTGTTATCAGGGTGCATTACCCAGGCTGGGGATTGCTCACATTGTTGCTCCAGTGGCACCAGTTTGCCTTGGTGTGACTGGGGATGTGGCAGCACTGCCCAGGTGTCTTTGTCCCAGGTCAAGGCATCCATGTGGCTGGGCAGAAGTTCAGGGATCTGACCACCAGCACTTTGCAGATCTTTTCTTTTCCCTCCCTCCCTGATTCCCAGCTCTGTGCCACCATGATTTTGTGTGGCTGAGCTGTTCCCTCCACATGTTTGATGCCTGATCTCATGCATTGGCTGTGCAGCTCTGGTGGAATTCCAGTGGTAAACTCCTGCCCTAAGCTCCCCAGGGATGAGAGGTAGCACTGCCATGAGCTCCTGTAAGCACAAAGACTTTCACCTTGCAGGTTCACCAGCCCACAGCCAGCTCCTTGCTGGTGGCTCGGGCTCCTGGGAAGAAAGCTACAGAGGAAATGCAATGGTTTTGGACCATGTCATGTATTATCTCATTTTCTTTTGGTATGAGAATCCAAAATAAACTCAGGCATCCTGCACGATCTGAGAAGTTCTCCTTAGCAATACTGATCTTTGACCCACATTTTCTGTAGATCACAACGATTTCTTATTCTAAGATAACTAGTAGGATTATTATTTTTTTTTCAGATACAATGAATATGATTTATGCTCCTTTACTATGCAAGTAAAATCCTTTAAATTCTCCCTCCAGAGACCAATCTGGTTACACAAAAGGATACTGCCAGGCAGAGGGAGGCCAAACAGATCTGATGGACTTGGAGCGTCCCAGGGCCCACACTGCCCACCCCTCAGGGTCTGCTTTTCCCTTTCTGGTGCATCTGATTCCTTCAAGTCCTGCCTGGGGACACCTCTGCTGCCTCTCCCTGCACTGCCAAGGGGCTGAAAGATTTTCTACCTAAAGTTTGATTGTCTTGGGACAATCAAATATTATAACTTTAATCAAATATTCACCATCAGCTGCTGAAGGTCTCTGTACCAGATCTGGAAGGATCCTAGGGAGTCTCTGCTGCACATCCAATGCTTTCCCAGCAGATTTGTTTATTGACAACCAGGAGATGAGAAGGAGGTGCAATACACTCATTTTTAATTTGTTTAAGGACCATGGCAGTTTGCAAACCTCAACTCTGGAGGTGAGAAGTCCACCAGAGACTATGGTGCTATAAATACTGAACCAGGGACAAATTCTGATGGAATTTCTTCAGTTTGGCTTTAAATAGATATGTCAACAAGCCAAGATTTAGAAGTTTAATTAAATATGAATTTTCTTTACACTGAGTTACACTTAAAGGTGTCTCTGACAAAGAGAACTGGCCAACAGCAAATTCTTTGAGACACCCTGGTACCCCCAACCTATTTCTTGCCCCCAGATGTGTCTGCCACGGCCAATTAAGGTGACAACCAGCATTCACTGGGCAGGATGTGGGGAATCTGTGGTTCCATCAGGGCCCAGCATGGAGGTGTGGTGGACCTGAGCTCCCTGGGGGCTGTGAGTGGGGCAGAGCACTGGGAAGGTGCCCCAGACACTGCCTGGTGATGGTCTGTGGAGCTGAGGTGCATTACAGGGAAGGACTTTGCCCAGCACAGTCATGGTGCCGTGCCATCCCTCGGTTCATGTGGGGCAGGAACAGGCTCGTGCCAGCCTGGAGCTTCCTTGAGCAAATGCCTCTTAGATGAGAGAGATGGGATGAGTGTGGCTTTTCTCACTTCTCATTTCTCTGAGAGCAGCTATGGGTGTGCAGCAAGAAAGACTTTTCATTAAGAT